ACAGATAACAGAAATAACCAAAATGAGCTGTTTAGTGCAATGTTGCCTCGTTAAAAACCTTTCTAGGTAAAACTCACCCTTGTGAGAAATCTTAGAAAGGAAAAAAGTGTGCAGCCAGCTCTTAATTAAGTCTTACAAACCATTGTTCAAATAATAGATAAGTCTCAGAGACACTCTCACACTCTCACTCATTGTCTCAGTCCCACACTTAAAGTCACATACACTCTCAGTCTCTCACTCTCTCACAGACCACTCTCACACTCACTGTCTCAGTCCCATACTCACAGTCACATACACTCTCACTCTCTCACAGCACAGATCATACTCACACTCACTCACTGTCTCAGTCCCACACTCACATACACAAAAACAGACACTCTCACTCTCTCATAGATCACACTCTCACACTCACCGTCTCAGTCCCACATTCACATACACTCACTCTTTCATAGTCACATATCACACTCACACTCTCAAGAGTCAAGTCTCAACCTCACTAAGTACCAGGAGCACCACCAGCAGCTTCATCTTCATCAAGGTACAAGTTCTTGAATGAGTCTTCCAGCTCTTGGTTGTCAACAGCATGCTGTTTTCTTCTTTCTCCTAACTCCTAGTCCTTTATGCAGTCAGCATCTCCACAATCTCTAGTGACAAGCGTCGTCGCCATTCCTCAATTATCCTGCCTATCAAACTAAAACAAGACTCCGAAGAGACAATAGATACAAGAACTGATATGATATTTCTAGCCATTATAGACAGGATTGGAAAGGTTAGCTTGTGGTCATGTCACCACAGAAGTAGGTCAAAATCATCCTCATAAGAAGTGACATTGTCACTGTCTAAGTAAGCTGAGAGCTCACAAACAGTAGAAGTAGATGAAGATAAAGTGGCAGGGAGAGGGGAAGGACCAACAACACCTGATCCATGACCAAAGATTCTTTTCTATGCCTGCTTTTTCTTACATGTATGATTTGATGGTTGTGCAACCCTTTGAGACCTAGCTGCACTAAATTTGCTCTCATATTTGTTAAACAATTTATACAATTCAGTTTTGACATCAGCATAGTATGAACTGTACTCAGAACCAGTGCATTCACCAAGTAATTACAACACATTAAAGAAACCTCTCATCTTAGCTCTAGGATCAAAAATAAATGTAGATGAATATAACAGAGGTATGTCCTGCCAATATTTAAGGAATTTAAGCTTCATAGGATATACAATAGCTCTCAGATTTTAATCTTTTTCACATGCATGCAAATGTGAAGTAATCTCTAGGATATGGTGCAGAACAAGTGGACTTGTAGGATAATAAACACCAGACAGAACAATAGTGGAGTCATAGAAGAGTTCAAGAAACTCCAATAACTTCTCAGCAACATACTAATAATTTCTAGTCAACAATTGTGAACCATAATGGGAATTAATGAACACAGAAAAGTTATTCTTCTATGGAAACAAGTGTTTAAGCATCAGGTAAGTAGAATTCCATCTAACATCCATATCCAAGCTAAACTTTCTAGGTCTAACACCCTTAACATTATAATATTCTTTGAACAATGCAAGTCTTTGATTAGAGGAATTTAAGAAGTTAATTGCAGTTCTAAAATCTTCTATGTAAGGTTTCAACCTCTTTAATATAGATTTTATAATGAGATTAATGATATGACAAACACAATATTGATGTACAAGACTGTACTTACGGTTACTAGGATCCAAAGGATCAGGTGAAGGATCAGGACCCAAGTAACCAGTAAATAGAGGTGTCAAAGTGTTTATAGCCTTAGCATTAGAAGAAGCATTGTCTCGAGTGACAGAGAAAATCTTGTCAATCAGACAATACTCCTCAACCACAGCAGCAATTCTTTCAGCAATATTTTTACCAGAATGTTTAACCTCAATCAGCCTAAGACCAATAACCCTTTTCTATAACTCCCAATCAGCATTCACATAGTGAGCAACAACACTAATATAGTCCTCCTTAGCATTAGCAGACTAAATGTCTGAAGTCAAAGCAACAGAAGAAGCAGCAGGCAACACAAAATTCTTAAGCATATCACAACGTTAAGTAAACAGCTTACCAAAATCTCTAGTGGTGGTCTGTCTAGAAACCTTGACAAACGTATGTTTATGAGCAAGAACAATGTAATCCTCTCAGGCCTGTGTCTCACCTATACCTAATAGAAGGTTAAGCATAACAATCAATCGATATAACTCAAATCGAGCAACAGCAGGATTATAGTCTCAGTTATGCACAGATCCATCAGGATTGAAAGAAAGCCTAGACTGAACCCTAGCAGTGTGATCAGCCTTTTTTCTACAAGATTTCTGGTGCCTAATCAAATGGCCAGTGCCAGCAGAAGATCTAGCAGACAATTTACTCTTACACATTTTATAGATAGCAACAGTTCGAATTTGTTAACCATTCACAGTCTCATAGGTCTCATCAAAATCAACCCAGACACCAGATTTACGCTTACCAACAGATGAGATACCATCTGTGCTGCCACTGACGGCGCCAGCGCCACCCCTCCACCACCGTCGCCGTTGTCCAGATCGATCGGAGCAGAGCCGCTACCGACATTGATACCCAACAACGCAGCAGCGTCGTCACGGATGTCGTCGTCGTCCTCGGGGATCAGCCCTGCCGCGATCAGGTCATCGTTGCCGGTGAGTGGATAGACGACATCGTCGTCATCCGCCATGGCGACCTTGACCACGGACGACTGATCTCCAGCACCGTTCATCAATGGTGCGCGCGGCCACCGTGCCCGGTCTATGCCACAGGAAGAGGACGAAACATCGACAATCGACCTACGCGGAGGAGAAAAACAGAGAGATAGAGATCTAGATCCAGGGTCAGTCACTTAGTCTCAGAGACACAAGAAGACAGATCTAGGGTTAGGGTTCGTGGACTACCTGCGCAACCGGAGGCGGTCGGAGATGACGAGGGCCACCCAGAGGAGAGACACCGATTAGAAATGACGGCGAACGACGGAGGAGGGACGGACGGGAACACGGTCACGAACTCACATAGTTCACCGAGAGCAAGAGGCCGAGAGGAGATAGGGAGAAAGGAGGAGAGTGGAGACAGGGTCAGACAGGCGGATCAAGGTCACCGGGGTCAGGGACGACGGACGAGAGAGAGCTCAGATTCGCCATTGGTGGATCGTGCATGCGACCGATGCGGGCGAGAGAGCAGAGATGCGTCGTGGCGAGCGAGAGAGAGTGGGGATTAGGGTTAGGGTTGAGAGCGGGTGAGCGGCTCAGTCGACGCTCCCCGCTTATATACTCGAGCGGGGGCACGGGTTGCGACTCTGAGGAGGGGATCGGTCGGTGGCGGCCGGCCGGCCCGGTGAACTGCCGTCGAGAGAGCGGGCCATGCCGTGCTTCTTGTGCGATGTGCACGGTAAGGCCAGAGCCACGCCTGCTCCTCCGGGTCGTGCCAGCCTAGGTCCGCTCGCCGCCGGGTCGGGCCGTGCTTGGACCGGGCCAAAAAACGGGTCTTGGGCCAGGCCGACGGGCTCGGGCTACATGGCCATATATAACTATCACGACCCGTGGGGGACTGGGCTTGTTTGGCACATCTCAGAATAACTTCATGAACTATTATGAGCTGTTTTTTTTTGTCAAACACTCATTTTGAAAATAGCTTCATGCTATTTTTTTTGATAAAAAACAGCTTCATGGTAAGGTTGGTTTTCTTCTTCTCTCGTAAAGACATGAGTTGGGATGAAACTAAAAACATAGTTTATCCTAGCTCTCTTCCTCATTTCCGTCTCATCCATGCATGAAGTTTTTGTTGAAGTTGTTTTGCTAAACAATTTTTCTAAAATAGCTCAGCTTCATCTAGAAAGTTGCTCATAAAACTGTTTAAAAAATATAGCTTTACTAGTGAAGTTAAGCTGTGCCAAACGGAATCTAAGGGTCTTTTAGCCATTACTATTGACCCTGTTCTGCAACACTAAGTCAACAATACTTTTCAGCAAACGAATAATGTTTTTCTCTCACAACAGATTAGCATAAGCCAAATTTCATTGAAACGAACATGCCATTATCAACTTGTTGCAGTACCTATGAAATCTCACCCAACTTCCTTTCTCTCTCAAGGGAAGCACATGTGTCAGTGTCATCGCGGAGAAAATGTAGATAAAAGAACGCGACGTTTCGATGAACTAACCGCGCATTGGCCTGGAACAAGCCCCGCGGTGCTGTCCGCTGTCACAAAATTGAATTCCACGCGTTGGAGAATGGTGAAGCAAACACAGACACGCTACATACGATCCACCGCCCGAAACGGCAACCCCTCACGCAGTCACGCTCATCCGTCCGTCCGTTCTCGATCGATCGGACATACCTGCAACCCTTGCTCTTCGTACCCGTTGCCCGCAGCCCCCAAGCCTAGGCTAAAACGACGGCGCACGGCGTTTCCTCGCGCCCCCTCCCTCCACTCGCACCAAGTTGGCGGCTCGGGGGTCGGGGCCAATCCCTTGCTGGCAGTCGCATCCCCTCCGTCCTGTTCCTTGCTCGCCCCAACTTCGCCGCCGGGCGCGGTCTCATTCCCCTCGGCTACTCGCTCCTCGTCGCCCCCCCAGTGATGTCTGGCGGTAACGCGTGGTCGCCGCTCCCTTCGCACGGATTTGGGTACGTTTTCTCAAGCAATTGTTTGTGCGATGGTTGTTCCATTGTCTGTTCGGGGTCCGTTGCGCCTATTTGCCCTCCTTGATCTACGCATCGGGCATTGAACGAATTGCATCTACAAATATCCTAGATTAGATAACCTTGGCGGATTTATTCAGTGTTGTTTGGGGGTAAGTTTTTCCAAAGGCACAAGCTGCACAATTGAAATGCCGGATCGGGGTCGGTTTCCCATGTTCCCCGAAATAATAGGATTCCTGATTGTGGCAGCGACGACTCCTGCTTGTCCTTTTTTATTTTGCTCGTGTCGTCGGATCGTGGCTTGATTGGTCTCCGCATCCCGCAGATCCGAGTCCAGCGGCATGGCGAACCGCGAAGGCGAGCCTGTCGCGAGGACCAACAGCGGCGGCGGCAGCAAGGACTCGGGCAGCTTCGAGTGCAACATCTGTCTGGACCTGGCGCAGGATCCCGTGGTCACCCTCTGCGGCCACCTCTTCTGCTGGCCCTGCCTCTACGAGTGGCTCCACGTTCACGCGCACTCTCAGGAGTGCCCCGTCTGCAAGGCCGTCGTTGAGGAGGGGAAGCTCGTCCCCCTCTACGGCCGTGGCGGCAACTCCACCGCACCCCGTGCAAGGTCGGTGGCCGGTGTGGAAATCCCGAGCAGGCCGACCGGGCAGCGGCCCTCCACCGCCCCGCAGCCTGACCACAACAACCATTACCCGCACCAGAACCCCTGGTTCATGGGTGCTGGTGCTCCCCCTGTGGCTGGTGGTCGGTGGGGGAACTACACTTTCTCGGCCGCCATTGGAGGGCTGTTCCCGTTGCTGAGCTTCCAGGTGCATGGATTCCCCCAGGCGACTGCCTATGGGCCGGCTGCAGGGTTTCCTTATGGATATGGCCATTCTTTCCATGGTTATGGGCATGGCTTCCCGGCTCCGCGCCGGGCGCCACAAGGCCAGCAGGTTGATGTGTACTTGAAGGTGTTGCTGCTGGTAGTTGGTGTGCTTGTAATTGCCAGCCTGATCGCATTTTAGATTATGTATGGCTGGAGGAGATATTTGCTGATCCTTGTTGGTGTGTACCATAGTTCTAGCATCGTTGCATCTTAGATAGCTCCCAAAGTTTGATGTCAGTGTGGAGAGAAGTAGAGTGATGCCTCGGCTGGTAATAGTACTTGTGATAATTGGTGGCAGCTGGTGTTCATTGGAGCTTGTGTAAAGTTGCTATCGAAAATTATAGGTGCATTTGTTGTGTTCTTGCCTTGAACTTTTGGCCATGTTCATATTTCTTCAATAAAATTTGCCTGCAATGTTCTGTTTTTCATTGCTATTTACTGCTTGGATAATGCATTGCCAGACTATGCCGTCTGGCCATTGTGAGACGTAATTTTTTTCTGCTATCGTCTAGGTAATTTATAAATCCTTATACATGGAGAAGTACATCTTTAAGTGTTCAGCTTGCAGTTCAACCTGTTACTGAATTAAAAGATGGCACCGACAAAAAACTTTACTGCTGAGCTTATTCTCTATGCCTTTGAATTTGTCCATAATTCTGAATCATACTATTTTTACTTTATCTATATCAGCTTCGTTTTTCCTGTAAATAGTGCATATGAAGTCCAATATGAAAACATGAACCTCCTGCCTGGTTCAGAGTAATATTGAATCTGGGGAACCTAATAGGTCCTAACGTTTTCTTTGCTTTGACTGATTTCATATTTCAGAGATCTGTTATAGGAATTTAGATTTATATAATCACATACTCGACTTAGGCCTGCTGCAATGTGTCCTGGATGTGTAATACTATTACTGGTTCAACTGATGAATAAGCATAAATTTCTATTGCATGAACTTCAAATAATCAAAGAATGGTTCCCTAACATTTGCTCTAATAGCTTTAACATTATCTAATGGAGTGACTGGCATACAGAGTTTACTTTGTGAGCTTCCAATGCTAAAAAATAAATAATGAGTGGATTCCTAATGATTCCTTCATTCTAGGTTAAATTTTCTAGTAGTGTGTATGATGGACATGTATGGTATTTGATGTTTGGTCTATGTTGTGAACTTGCCATGATGTTAATGCTAGTGATTACAGGATGAAGAACCATACTGTATTGCTCTGTGTGTTTCAGAATATGTAACTAGTTGACCTTTGTGTACATCATCTGCAAAGTATAACCGAACATTTCCACATTTCCGTGATTGCAATGAGCGACATAAAGATACTAGTAGAGTGTTTGCCATGCACACAGAATCTTCGAATCTTTTCACCACATGCTGATGGATGATTTGTAGCATCATGCATTTCCAAGGTATTTTATTACTTATTTTTATTCATTCAATGTCATTGTGCCCACGGTATTCTATTACTTTTTTTATTCAATGCCATTTTGCAATAACATCTCACCTAGTACCGCATTTGTTGATGCAGGATTGCAGGTGCTTCAAACTATAAACTCCATTTGCAATCAACTTGGATAGTGAGTCGGATCTGTTTATCCCTACTCCACGCCGCCCTCTCCCTTCCTCCATCGGTCCCTCTCACGGTCTCCCCTCCACCTCCAGATCTCGGCACTGGTAGTGGACATCGGGAAGGAACGGGTAATTGTGAAACAAAATTCTCTAGGGAACTTCGGATGGTATGAGATATGGTGATTTCTGTCTGCACTGTCCGCATGTTGCATGTTAGTCACACTGGAGTAGAATCATGAGTAACAGAGCAATCATGTCTGTAGCATTGAGGCATGGAGCTTCACAATCCTGAGCTTAAAGGCTTGTCTAGATAAAACCCTTTCCCTTTCAATACATGTGGATTTGGATAGATAAATGAACTAAATTTCTTTCAATCACTCCTAATCCATTCAAATCAACACGGGGATTGGGTTTATGAAACAAGAAAATATTTTCTGCAGCCACGGCATGAGGCTGGCACTGCAGTAGGCTTGCTGCTTCTTTGAATTGCCCTCAAGATTTTTTTTTGGTTTAGCATCTGTTCAATATGGGGCATTTTTGTGTTCTGGTGAGGTGAAAACCCAACACCAAAATGTGCCGAGGCATATGGCCCTGTTTGTTTGAACTTATCAACCTGGCTTATCAGTCATGGTACAATGTTTTTCTCTCACAATAAATCAGCGAACAATACTTTTCAGCCTGGCTTTTCAGCGAAGTGAACAGGGCCGGAATGTGTAGCTTTGATTGACCTACATATTACATTGTTTAGGGTCGTAAATTGCTATCACCAATCCTGAAAGCGCTCAGGCCCTTTTGGATATTTGGAATTGAATTTATTTTAATAATCATAATTTAGACACATATTAATTAAGCTAATATGATTGTGTATAGATAATATTTGTATATTATTGTTGGCTATACGAGAGAGATACTTAGGGCGTCCGCAACGGTGCTATTGATTTCGATAGCTGTCATAGTGAAAGGTCCTAGTAGCTAGAGGGGGTGAATAGCCTATAAAAAATCTACAACAACATTAAGCCAAGAGGTTAGATAATTATGAGACGAAGCAAATATTGCGCTAGTCTACTAAAAACGCAAGCAACTTAACAACAATTCTAGTCAATTATGATCACTAAGCACTCAAGAGCTATTTCGTTACTCTTTACACTAGTTGAGCTAGCTAGGGACTAATTACAACTTAGAAGCTAAGCTACACAACTAGCTACAACTACCACAAGCTCTACACAAAGTAAATACACAATGTAATGCAAGAGAGTGGTAGATGAGATATACCGTCGTGGCAAGTGATCAATCAATGAATACCAAAGAATATCAAGGAGACAAATAATGACACAATGATTTTTCCTCCGAGGTTCACTTGCTTGCCGGTGAAAGCATCTAGGCCCCTAGCTGGGTTTCGGTGATTAATGACGATACAAGATTACTATGACTAACGTATGTTTTGTAGAGGCAATTTGAGTTAGGTCATGGTAATAATGATTGTTTGGGCAATTATGGTTTTCATGCCCCTATCGATGAAAATCGTTTCGGTTTTCAAAGGATGGACAACAAGGTTAAAGACGGATTAGTTCTAAGTATCGTTTGGCGTTGGAGAGACACTTAGAGTAGTTTAGGACTTTGTTTTTTTCCTTTGGCCGTACTATTAAGGGGAGTATGAACGAGTAGCTTGACTTAGGTAAGTCTAATGGTTTATGTGTGGTGCACACTTATCAAACTTAGCACTAGGTAGCTCAGGGTTTACCCTAAGATCGATTAGAGACAAACTCATTCATGAAGATGTTGAATTGGAAGTGAATGGAGTGCTCATTTACTGACCGGACGCTGGTTTGGTAGTGACTGGATGCAGCAGTGAGAGTCAGGTCAGTTCATTTGCTCGACAGCAGAAGGCAGACTACGACCGACGATCGCAATTGTAGCAGCGTGGACTTGCTGTTGACTGGACCAGACATTGGCAGGTAAGTGACCGGACACAAGGCTTGCCGAGTCCGATCAACAACAGAGAAGGTTCAGAGAGGATAATTCTTGACTAGACGCGTCAGGTGGACGCTGACCGGACGCTGACCAGCGTCAGGTCAGTCTAACGGTCAAGTGTGATAGCTGACGTGTTTGTGGCCGTTGGCCACTGACCGGCGCGTCCGGTCACCTTGACCTGCGCGTTCGGTCACTACATAAATGTGCTGAGTTGGACAGTAACGGTTATGTTTTGAAGTGGGGAGTATAAATACCTCTCCTACTCGTCCAACTTAGTACTCTTGCCCATATGTTCAGCTGAGAAACACCTTTGGAGTGCAAGGGAGAGCAAGAGCCTAGTGGGGTGATTGAGATTTGATATTCCAAGATGAAGGATCTCATTAGTGCATAGGGAATAGCAAGTGTGCATCCACCTTTCTCATTAGACTTGTCTTGGTCAAGTAAGAGTTTGTGCTTGTTACTCTTGGTGATCGCCATCACCTAGATGGCTCGGTGGTGATTGGAAGCTTGGTGATCATTCGGCGTGAGCGGTTCACCGCGACGGAGTGTCGAAGAATTAGCCCATAGAGAGCACTTGATCCTTGCGCGGATCGAGGGGGAGCTACACCCTTGTGCGGGTGCTCCAACGAGGACTAGTGGGGAGTGACGACTCTCCGATATCTCGAAAAAACATCGCCACGTCCCTCTCCCTCTTTTTACTCTGAGCATTTACTTTTGAGCAATTCAATTCATGTCTTTACATTCTTAGAATTGCCATGCTAGAGTAGGATTGGAACCTAGGGTGCAAAACTCTTGTGCAGTAGAACAATAGAAACACTTCTAGGCACAAGGGGGTGAAATGCGCTAAGTGTAGGGCTTAATTATTACAAGAAATTTAGAATTAGCCTAATTCATCCCCCTTGGGCATCTTGATCCTTTTAGCCGGCAAGCTAGTCCCTGTTGTGGCGATTCACTCACTTGGAGGTTCACACGATAATAGACATCATGCGCTTAACCCGCAATCAGGTGCCGCACAACCAACACAAGATGAGGATCCACAAGCCACGTGCAATCCACTAGAGTTGTCTTTGGCGCTCCACCGGGAAAGGCACAAGGATCCCTTACAATCACAACGATCATAGCCGGAGACAATCACCTTCCTCTGCTCGACGATCCACCAATCACCGGGTCATCTAGGTGTCGGCAAACACCAAGAGTAACAAGTTCTCCACCAGCCCAAATCGCCCAACTAGTGCCACAAGATGCTAGACTACTAAGCAATGCACTGGAGGCTCTCCAATCTCACTCAAGATGGTGAAATCAAGTGTGCAAGTGAGTGGAGTGGTGTGCTCAGCTCCCAAAGGGTGTACACAGGTGTGGGAAGTGCCAAGAGAGTGGCCAAGGCTTGCCACCACCTCTATTTATAAGCACACAAGCAAATAGAGCCGTTACCCCTTTGGAGCAGTTTCTGTGAGGGCACCAGACATGTCGGTGTGGCACCGGACATGGGGTGGCGGTGCCCCTCCAACGGTCATCCAACGGCTAGGCACCGAACAGGGTGGCGGTGGCACCGGACATGGCACGGTGGTGCCACTCCGGCCACACCACCA